GTTAACTGGTCAACAGGTGTGCCTACCTGTAACATGTCCAGCAGTCCCTGCCTGCAGCCCTCCTCCATGCCGTACTCGTCCACCAGGATGCTGCCCAGGTACAGGAAGCAGGAGTGTGGGTACACCTGGTACACACTCACCATCTGACGGCAACAAACAGGTGGTCAGTGTTTCCGCGGCAACAGACATTAACACGACGTCATGCTGGGTGATGGAGTCACTCTCTGGACCAATCAGAGAGTTTCTGTTCAGCACGGTTCAGGTTTGTGTAACAGGTAAAAACCAACAGTATTTATTCTGAGTGTGTGATTGATTAACACTTTGACAGTATTGATGATGTGTTGGACCCGATCAGTTAGATCAGTGACACAGAACCGGCCTGGCAGACTCACAGCTCCTCCTACAGGCCGAACTGATCACTACACGACAGGAGAATAAACAGCTCATGTAAACCACCCGCTGAGGCGTCCAGGTGTGTCTCACCTGAGTGACAAGCGGCTGCAGCAAGGAGGCGGAGCCTTTCCCGACACATCGCACAGCGAACCTGAGACAGCGGCAGCATCGCTCCACGATCCTGTTGTCGGCCTGGTGAGTGTTCAGAGTCTCTGACAGCACCGGCCAGATCTGCAGACGAGTCACAGCAGTTTTACATTTTATTACATTTACACTGACGGGGCTCATGCAGGTAAACAACAGGTGAGTTCAGGTGCTTTACCTCCTGGATGACCTTCTGACAGGGGTGAGTCTGTCCGTTCTCCACGATGGGGTTTGTGTGTCTGGAAAACAACAACAACAGCGACACTGTGTGAATGTGTTCACTTCTGCTTCACTGATTTGAATAAAGTTTGACTGTAAATGAACAGGTAGCTCACCTGAAGATAACGGCCAGCCTGTCCAGCCACACGGTGGGATCAGCTGATTTACCGTTTGTAGAGTCTTCAGCCAGAAGCTGAAACAGAAACGTGAGGTTTAGTTTAGTTGATCTGAATCTTCCACGTCACCGTCGGACTGAATGAAAACGACACCGACCTTTTTCAGAGCCATGACCTGAACAGCACACAGATCACTGAGACACTCCGCGATCTTCTCCAGAGGAAGCCGGGCCAGGACCAGAGCTGTACCTGTGCAGGTGACAAGACTTAATGGTCACGGCTCCGTATACGGGTAAATGTGCAGCTTTAGAGCAACGCAACTGCTGGACCGACAACTTATGTCAACAGAAGCCCCGAAACCAACAACTCACCTGAGAAACAGCCAATAGATCAAAAAAATAGCAACAAAACAGCTGCTACCTACAACTCACCCCAAAACCAGACCAGGAACTCACCTGAGAAACAGCCACTAGACCCACAACTGACCTAAAGACAACCACTAGACCAACAAGTTGCCTGACAAACATCCACAGGGGACAACTCACCCAAAAAAAGAGCCACTAGACGACAACTAACCCAAATTACAACAGCTAGACCAATAATTCACCTGAAAAACAACCACGACACCAGGTATACATGTGGACACCAAAAACCCCCTCACTGGACCAACAACTCCCCTGAACAACAACCGCTAGACACACGTCTCTACAGGTATCTCATGCCACTACAGGTGTCCNAAAGCATGACACGATTCTTTAACCGTAGCGGTTCGGTTCGTCTGGACTCACGTCGTTGGCGACTCCAGTGTGGATGAGGTCTCGGACGAACTTCATGACACTGCAGTTGGCGTCCCGGTGGTCCAACGAGGTGGCGGCGATGGCACACTGGATGATGTGAACGATGATGCTGCTGCTGAGTAAAGTGACGGGACTCCGCTGGACGAACCTGAACACAGAAGGACGACACGTCAGACTCGTAGGACGGGTACGGCGGGTCCACCTGGAGGTGGCCAGAGGCAGACGGGCTGCACCGCCTGCCGGCTCTGGAGCTGCTGCTGGTAAAAACCCGACAGCCTGTAGTGGGGCTTTCACCTCTCTGGGGCAGCGCTGCATCTATTTGCACCTCTTTGTTTTTGGTCATTTGTCATTTTGTGCCTTTTTGTGTCATTTTATGGTTCTTTGTGGTTGTCGTGTACTTTTTTCTCGTCACTTTCTGTCTCTTTGCAGCTGCTTTGTGTATTTTTTTTGTCATTTTCTGGTTGTTTTTGTGTCTTTTTGTGGTCTCTTTGCAGAGTGTTTGTGTCTCTTTGGTCGTTTTGTGCCTCTGTGCTGTTTCTTGGTGGTAGTTTTGTATCTTTGTTGTCAGTTTGTGTTATTTTCTGGTTGTTTTGTGCCTTTTTTTGCTCATGTTGTGTCACATTTTACCTGCGTCAACATCAGCTGTAATGACTGTTCACCTGCCGCCTCGTGGATCCTAACTAGTTGCCATCACTTCACCTGTTTTCATGCTGTTCCTGATGAACCCTGATATGAACCTGTGGGGTTCTGGTTCAGCCGTGCAGATAAACTCACCTGGTGGCGAGTCTGAACAGGTCGTCCACGGTGTCGGGGTGGTTCCTCAGACCGTTGGGCTGCTCCAGCAGCTGGAAGGTCGGCATACACAGAGCCTGAGGAGGAAGAGGAGGAGGACCATCATCACCATGACTCAGCCTTTCTGCAGCTCACAACAACGTCAGGAGACTCTGACTGAGAATAAACCCGAAGCTCTCGGCTGCTTTGAATCACAACGAGACTCAGTTTGATGTTTCCTACGATTATAAACTCTCTGAACGCGTCAAAGCTCAGACAGAAGAAACTGCTTTTCTGTTTAGACCTCGATAGAACAACACCAGCAACATCAACAGCTGGGTTAACTGGTCAACAGCTGGGTTAACTGGTCAGTTAACTGGTCAACAGGT